GGAGATCACCCAAGATTGCTCGAGATTGCCCGAGATCGAGCGCCTCTCGTGGGATCACCACGCCGCTCGGCCCAACGTCGCCCTGCAGCGGCACGGCCAAGTGAGGGACCTCTCCCAGCGAGTGCACTCCCAGCCCCTCCTCCCGCTCGTCCGCGTCCCCGCACCCGCCGCCGCCACCCGCCCCGCCACCCACCCCGTCGCCGCATTCTTCCACGCGTCCGGCGTTGGCCTTTCCGGCCGAGCCATCGCCGGTGCGCCGCTCACCCGAGCTGGACGGCGGCACAGCGGTGGCGGTGGCGGAAGCGGTGGCGGCAGCCGTAGCGGTGGCGGTGGCGGTGGCGGCCCCCCCGACACCAAAGGCCGCCTCCATCGAAACGGGGCGGCCGCCGCCATCGAAGCGAAATGGCGTGCCGAGGGTGGGGAGCCGCGGCGCGTTGCCGAGCACAAACACGGCCATCGCCTGCGAGAGCGCTGACGGCGGCTCGCACGAGTCGCCGCCCTGCGCCGCCCCTCCGTACCCTCGAGACCTCGCGGCCGGACCTGGCGGCCCGACGGCCGCGTCACCTGCGTGAAGGCCTCCGCCCGCCCGGTAGGGCCGCGGAGAGAGGTCGGCGATCTCCAGCGCCTCGTCCCAATGGAGCAGCAATCGGCTTCCCCCGCGGCTGGCGTCCGCACTGCCGCCGCCGCTTCCGCCGCCACCGCTGCCGCCGCGGCCGCCGCGCACGGCCGAGCGCCAGCGGGCGTTGAGAGACGTGCAGAGGGCGCGCAGCGGCGCTCGCTCGCCTACGTCATGAAAGCACCGAGGTCGGGGTGGGAATACGGTCTCGCGCAATGTACTCATAGCACCGCGTGAATCGCCGGCTGCGGTGGATACCGCGGAGTACGGCGGAATACAGCCAAATACGTGACCTCTCGAGCGCTGGCCGGAATACACAGACACGTATTCCGCTTCTAGGCTCGCTTGCGGGTGGGCCAGCCCCGCGCCTCCGAGTCAGCCGCCCTCTCTAGCTCGCGGAGCACCTGCGCAAGCGTTGGGGCGCAACCAATTGATCTAGATACGTGCCATTCCGGGGACAGCGATGCGAGCCGCACCTTGACTAGCGAAGCGTGGCCGCGGCCGCGCGTGTCGAACCTCTGGTAGATTGACACCAGCAGCGAGACGACCCGCGGCTCGACTGCCGCCCTCGACTCCGCCGCCGCCCTCGCCGCCGCCCGTTGGTCTGCCGCTGCCTCGGCCTCGCTGTAGCGGCACGGCGCACCTACGGACCACATGTGATCGGACATCTCATGCAAGGGTCGGTCGGGCATGCTGTGCACGTGTCCCCAAGCGGCGGCGCCGGCGGACGCCTCTCCGCCCCCCTCGAGGCCACGCAGCGACGTCGGGCTAAGGACGGGCCCACACCAGCCGCCAGCTCGAGGCCCACCACGCGACACCGCGCTCGAAGGGCTCGGTTCGGAGTCACACCTGCGCGCGAGAGGCTTCGGTGTGGAGTCTCGTGCCGCCGGCTTCCTCGAGCTCCCGGTGCTGCACTGTCGCCTGGCCCGCCTGCGCCCGTCCGTACCCACAACGCGACTCGTCCGCGAGGCTGCAGCGGCGGGCGAGGCTGCAGCGGCAGGCGAAGCTGCAGCGGCGGGCGAGGCCGTAGCGGCGGGCGAGGCTGCCGCCCTCGCCTTTCTGGCCGCCGATCTCGACCGTGGAGGCGAGCGCGGCGGCGACTGCCAGCCAGTGGCAGTGAGGCCAAATGGCGAGCCTGGAAGGGCGAGGGGCGGTGGCGAGGGGGGCGAGGGAGGGAATGGTGGGATTTGGCACGGGGTCGGGGGCGGAGGGGTGGGTGGGTGGCTGGGGGGTGGGGGGTGGGGGC